CAATACCACACTTTCGTCATCATCATCTGAAATATATCAAAAAACAGTCAGAAGCATAGAACATGTTTGGAGGACAATGGCAGCCGAGAGATGTTACATCTGCGGGCACTGCAACGACTGCGTTGTGAATCTCGAGTATGAGCATCCTGCTGACTGGCTGGAAGATCTTTCTGCGTTCACAGAGATGCTGGAACTTAGGTCGTGTCCGTGGAGGTGCCCAGATAAAGATCGACCGCAGTAGCCGGATTGCTGCAGTAGTAAAAGCGGCAAACATGCCACATCTGCAGCATCATGGTACCGACCTTTGCTTGGACGCAGCTTGTGGGAGCTGGAAGGCTTGCGTACCGAGTGGCACTGAGTGCAACTGGCGCAAATTAATCTGTAGCACTGTTCGTCTGGAGAGACTGTTCGTGACGAACATGCAAAACCAGTATGTTCGTCTGGAGAGACTGTTCGTGACGAACATGCAAAACCAGTAGCCAACTGTTGTTTGTCTGTAAAGTTTTTTTGTCCATCCTGTAGGGACATCGGAGAAATGCAGTGAAACAGGTGTTATCCTTGCCATCATGCTATCGAACTTGCTATCATTCACAGCATTCTTGCACGGAGTTCTAGTTTCTTACGGAGCCTTTGTTTGTGTACTTTTGCATTTTGTAGCATTTCCATTGCGACTATGTTTGCCCACCTTTGTTTGCAACTAAGGTCATCCACGGCATCAGGGAGCTGGAAGGCTTGCGTACCGAGTGGCACTGAGTGCAACTGGCGCAAATTAATCTGTAGCACTGTTCGTCTGGAGAGACTGTTCGTGACGAACATGCAAAACCAGTATGTTCGTCTGGAGAGACTGTTCGTGACGAACATGCAAAACCAGTAGCCAACTGTTGTTTGTCTGTAAAGTTTTTTTCCATCCTGTAGGGACATCGGAGAAATGCAGTGAAACAGGTGTTATCCTTGCCATCATGCTATCGAACTTGCTATCATTCACAGCATTCTTGCACGGAGTTCTAGTTTCTTACTGAGCCTTTGTTTGTGTACTTTTGCATTTTGTAGCATTTTCATTGCGACTATGTTTGCCCACCTTTGTTTGCAACTAAGGTCATCCACGGCATCATGGTGCCGAGCTTCTTTTGTATCTCAAAGGTCTTTGTGTGGAAACGCGTCTGACCTCTCTCTCTCTCTCTTTATCTCTTCCCCCTCTTTCTCTCTGTGGTTGCAAGACACATGTCATCTGATGCCCTTTACCAAATATTCTCTTCTTGATCAATCTTACTTTTTTACATCATGTCTTTCCATAGCTCATATAAAATTCACCAATAAAATTCACCAACTATTCACCGACTATCTTTTACGACTACCATACTCAGAGCTGCTTGAAACACATCTTTTTCGCTCTCGGGCCAACCGTCGTCTAGTTTTTTCTTCAGGCACCACTGTAAGAGAGCATGCTAACAGTGCCATGCAAGCCTTCATGGTTTGCTCATGCATGCTAGCAATCCCAAGCATTTTTAGCCTCAAGGCTACCACAGTTTGCTTTCTAGCCCAGGAAGTGTTGGGGTTGTCCAACTCTTTCCACTCATCATGTGTCATGTAGTTGTAGATGTGCAAGAGTGTCTGTGGCTTCAGAACCAATGATTTGCTGATATCCACCACACCAAGTGTCATTCTTTGCTCCAAAACATCCACAATGGACTTGAGGTGGGCATCATTCAAACACCTAGCAGCATCTTTGATCCTCACAGCATCACCTGGAGGCAAGTCAGCTAGGCCCTTGATCTTGGCACAAGCTCCTTTGACAAGTGCATGGCAAAAAGAATCATTGGTGTCCTTGCCCTCTATGAGCTTTGACACGTCTTGAATCTCTTTGCAAATGTCACCCACTGTCCACATGGCAGCAGCAACAACAACACCAATGAACTTTCACTACCTTTGATAGACCCAAATGGACTTGCATACAAAGGTTGTGTGTATACTTGCATATGGCATTCCATAAGCAACCTCACAGCTCACCACCATTCAAAAACAAACAATGGCATCTAGGGTGCAATGCAGCATGCCAATGCACAAGTGGTGAGAATATACCATATCATTTGCAAGTTGGTTGCTGCCTATGTTTGTGTGAAGTTCTGACTCTTCACCAACATGGTGGCTTGTGCACAAGAGTTCTTTTTTGGCCAGCCCACTGTCCAGTGTGAACATTCAAAGCAGCAATCCTAAGATGACCAAGTCAAAATGAAGACTGCAGCCACCACTTTGCTGCAAATGTTCTGCCTTCATGTAATATTCAAAATTGTCAGCCCATTATGAGCCATGTATGCAGCCTACTTTTTCTGACCCTTTGGTTCAGATGGCTTCTTGCTGTTCACACTCCTGGATCTAGACCTAGCCCTTTCACTGCAATCAGCCTGTGTTGTAGTACATGTTGAAGATGGCTGCCCAGCAGCTTCCTTGTCATTCTCCTTGTCCAAAGCATTGAAGAACATATAGGCTGCCCCCATCCAAGCTCCAGGCCTTTGAGAGCATGGAAAGTAGCCAAACATGTCCAGATCTTCATCAGGCTTAGAATCAGCAGCTGACATGGCTGCTCACAGCACAATGCAGCACAAACCAACAACACTACAGGTGCTAGTGTTTGATCAAGCAGGCTGCACACCAAGGTCTTGATGATAATGCGCAATGTGCCAGAAGCCAGTTGGTATATTATTTCAATCAAGATGGTGTGTAGCCAAAAGGCTGGAATACCATGCAAACAATAGCAACAGAGTCTCTAGCCTTCCTGGCTCAGTAATACATGCCAACATGTGAGTGAATGGCCAAAACTCTTCCAACATACTGGTGTGTAGCCACAGGGCTTGTGCAGACTGCAGCACATGGACATTGGCAGTGGGTGTGTAGCCTGATGGCTGATTGAATGGACTTTGTACACATCATGCAAAAGTTTAAGAATTCATTTTTCCATCCATGGGCATCATGCTACAACTTGGGTGCAAATACAAGCTGTGACCCTTGACTGTACACATCCAAGCTACATTACCATATGGTGCAACTGACTGCATCAACAAAGACTAAGGCTTGTTGAGTTGATTGCAAGATGAAGTGCATACATTTCAGCAATATTGTTTCACACTTGCACATGTGTCTTCACTGTTCAATCTACCTCACAGTCCTTCTTGGTCAGAGCTGGAGGGAAGGGCAGAACCAGGAAACATTGCTCCATCTCTTAGCCATGGCTGCACATACCTGATGGCAAATTCACTGTACACTTTGTAACAATAGAACATGCGCTCAGTTGCATCACCCAGGCCCTTGCACTTCATGATGGAGTCTTCAACATCAGTCCTTGGTGAATGCCATGTGTAAAGTAATACATGGTATGAAATGTAAATTGACACCTTCTACAGCATTCCCACACAGGATGGAAATTACTTGGCCATGCTGCATGATAATCAGTGTCAATGCACAAGTTATTGCAATCTAGTCTCCATTCCTGCCACCCTGTGCGGTGGACCTCCACAAACCACAGCTTTGCAGTTCCATCTGAAGCAAACTCAACTTTGTGGTAGGAGTATACAAAGTCATCAGCACTGGCAATTGACTCACTGTCAAATGCATCAGGTTGGGAACCATGTCCTCCTCCAATACCATCCTTACCACCACTCTTTCCTTTTTCATTCCCTTTGCCACCATATCCCTTTCTACCTTTACCACCCATGGCAGCCACACACAGCTACAAACACCTAACCAGCTATCAACTGCAAGCCAAAATTGTTTGGTGTAGTGCATCATGCCATTGAGTATCACCAACAGCTATGATTTGAGTCCACAAAAAACCAAATTGTACAACTACCATTGTGGCACAAAACATGCTCAAGGTTCAAGTCCACACATCACAGTGACCTCATGCAAAGTTGCAAACTGATGGACAGCAAGAATTTCCTACATACAAAGCTAATCAACTGTATCTCACTCACAACATGCAAGCCAGAATTGGCTACACATGGTGCATGATAGCAGAGTGATCAGCAGAAAGGTCAACCACATGTTTTCACATTTGCACAACAAGCTGTATGCTCTTAGCCAAGGTAGGATTATACTCTACCAAATGAAATGTACAAGATATCTACAAAAAATGCTGCCTGCTACAGCCCACAGCAGATATCATTCACCTATGAATTTCAATGTAAGATACGACTTGAAATGTCAAATATATTTGTAAATTCAAAACTTAGGATAGTTCACCAATTTAGATATATATCTAAATTGAAAATGTCGAACAGAAGCTTTCCAATTTAGATATCTAAATTTAAACTTCAAAAACCAAGGTTACCAATTTAGATATCTAAATTCTATATGCCAAAAGTCAGGTTTCCAATTTAGATATCTAAATTTAAAATGCCAAAGAGAAGCTTTCCAATTTAGATATCTAAATTTAAGGTTCACAGAACAATATTTCCAATTTAGATATCTAAATTGGAAGTTTCAGAAATATAGTTCCTAAATTTGATATAAAACAATAATAATCTTGCATATATTATTGTTGAAATTAGAAATAATTGTGTATTTACTAAGCAGACTAAGCATTAATGGTACATCATTCAATACTCCATTGAGTTCAAAGCCAATCCAAGAATGTACTTCTTGTGAACATAAGCATGCATTGTTTCTTTTATTGTTTGCCATTCACTAGCTAACATTGAATACACACATCATGATATTCAACATATTCAAATACAACTGAAACCATTGTAAACTCAACAAAGTTCACAAGGTAAAGCTGGGAGTGGCTTTGAATCCCTGCTGTGGGCTTCATCAGCAGCTGACCGGCAAGATATCTCAGCAGCCTGTGTTCTGCTCATATCCATGAAGTTAGACCAAATTGGTCACTGTGCTTTGCACATGCCCTGAATTGTGTCAATTTCAATATGAAACAGCAGCTTTGTTTTCAATCATAATCAATAATGTTGATCATTGTATGCTTGGTTACTGTTCAATTCATCATATGATCAGTAGTCATACTTGGCATCAGTGCCAAATCTCTCCATAGCCTCCTTGTGCAAATTGAGCATGCCCATGAATTGCTCGTTTTCTTTGAACCTGGGCAATCACATAGAAACTGCATTGTTGGAACATGTACATCATACATCCAGCCATTCATTTTTGTGATGTGAGATGGACAATGTAATTCAATTGGGTGTTGATAAGCCATGCATCCAATCAGAACCATACTATAGCCATTCATGAGGATATCACTACAATGCAAAAGCAGTTTCCACACATGCAAGTATGAAACCATCAACAACACATGGATAACAGTTTGACCAAAGTCACTTATTGACCAAATAGCCCATGCGAACTGGCAATTTCATCTCAAGCGAGGCCACCAAGGCAACACATCTAGATTTCCATGAGTAGCTGACCTTCTCAGTGTCACCCTTAGATCCTGATGCCCTTTCAGGCTTCTCAGTTGAACCAGGCACTGGAGGAGGTGGAGGAGGCAACACACCAGCCTTATGGTATGTTGCCTCATCAATCCTGGGCCTCTTCAACCCTTGACCTGGCTGAGCAGCCTTAGGTGGTGGTGGAGGGCAAGATGGAGGTCCCTCAACCAAATCATTGGAACCCCCATGGTGCCACCACTCCTGCCACTTCTCCAGCTTTGCCTCAGCTTCCTTGAGCTTGGTCTCAAGAGCCTGAGCCTTCAAAGACTCATGAGTCTGACCAAACTCCACTTTGAGTCTGGCAGTCTGCTCATTGTTCCATGGTGCCCAAACTGTCTCCATGTCAACATCCATGCAAGCCAATATGGCAACTTCATCCCATTCAGGGGAACCCTTGCCAATGTCCATGATGGGCTGAGTTGACACAAACCACAGCTTCAAAATGGGATCAAACCAAATGAACAAAGTGTGAGGACAGTTGTATGATGGATCATTGAGATCCACATCCTCAGTCTGAGAGCGGAAAACTGGCACCTGTTCCTTAATGCCAACCTTGTAGTACCTTCCACACAGCTCCAACCTTAGATCATGACAATGTGACATAAGGACAAAATATATAGTATTGAAAATGTCAAGTCAGCATTCACATGCTATACCCCAACAAAACCACATCCCAAACACTGAAAACACATGATTATATTCATCAAAGACACTCATCAGCTGACAAATCAGGACTGCATCCACTGATAACAAGACTGCATGTGTTCTTGATGTTCAGGTTGGAAAGGTTGGTGCTGAATCGCTCACGAAGTGAACTCCTAAGGCTCTGAGCAGCTGCAAGGGTGCCTCTTGGGTCAGGAACATCAGGTGCAGACATGGCTTCAGATGAATGTCACCAGAAATGATGCCAAAGTATGAAGGAAAATGATTTTGACATATTTGCAGTGATCCTTGCTGCTGATTCACATCATGACATGCTTGGAACTGTTGTTCATGATATTCCAGTGATGCCCACAGATACTACAATGCATAATGCTGAAATGGCACAGAACATGTCTAAGATGTAACATCAAGAATGACATGAAGGCCAGGTAGCACAACATGCAACCAATAACATGTGGCAAGTCACACCTTGCCCATCACCAAGTCTCAAACAGCAGCATCACAGAAGATACATGATGTCTCCAACCATTGCACATCACATGGCATGAAGTGGGACATGTTCCAAGTTGATTCAGTGTGGGTGCCTGCAAACATAGTGGTCATCACAGCAGGAGTGTTAAAAATCTAAATGCAACCAGTGGAAGTTCATACACACAGAATGTATCACTGACAGCAACATCCTTGAGATTGGCCCAGTGGATGGCATGCATGGTATGTAGCAAGCATGCTGGTGGCCATGGTGTTGCCACTGTGGTTTGCAACTGGTGCAAATTACAATACATGGCATGCAAGGTGTCTAGCCATCAGGCTTGTTGTCATAGTGAAAACATTCTCTTTCACTAGTGGGCAATGCATGTCATACATGGTTTGTAGCCCAAAGGCTGGCACAAGGACCTGCAAACCTTCACACATACACATGATTCAGCTAATGGTTGTAATGCTACACTTTTGTAACACATCTGGCTGCTTGCATGCATGCAAGTGGGTTTGCCATGCTGTCAGGCACTGTCACAGAATGCATTTTCGAATTTTTCAAGCCAGTGGATAGCATGTCTCATATCCATGGACCCTACTCATCCTTATCAGCATGGCCAGCTGGCTTATCAGCAGTCTTGCTGTGCTTGCCAGTCCTAGAATAAGGTCTTTTGCCTTCTCCCTCAGTAGTGATCTTGACACCAGACTCCTGCATGTAGTAGAAGAACATGTTGACATTGTCATGGGTATAGTCAATCACCAAGTCATCTGTTGGCCTTGCACAACTTTTGATAGCCAGAATGGCGCCCTCATCATTCAACTGGATGTCCAAAGGCTGATCAGGGGACAGTTTGTCCTTAAGTTTTCTGGCTTTTTTGGCTGGTGGCTCACCAGCTTCTTCCTGCCCAAAGAGGGCATCATGAGGTGCAGCAAAGACCTTTGCATTCCTTTTCTCCACCAGAGCCCTGTAGCCCACAGAGTCTTTGATGGTAGGCCTTGCTTTGGGGTCTACCTTGTCAGTGCTAAGTAGGTTGCACAAGCCAAAACAGCTAGCCCTCAACTGCAGCCAATGGCCACCACCTTCCTTCTCTTTGATCATGTTGTCTGGCAGCTTCCATTGTTTGGAGTTCATGGTGATACAATGCTGCACAGAAAGTTGGGCCATGGCAGCACTCAGGCTGATAAGTAGATATCATACTAAAGCTAAAAGCTGCTGAAGTATACATGCACACAAGGCCATATGCCCACAAGGTTGATGCAGGTTCAACACATGCAATTAATAACTTGGTGCCAGAAAAACATGACACTGGCAGTGAAAACCCTACAGCAACAATGCACAATATGGGATTGTTTGACATGTGTTGGTCATGCAAGTAGGTCACAAGTTCCTTCCCACATCTAAGGCAGCACCCCATGTGTAATGGCAGCTTTGGATGGCATTTCTTTTGCAACCATGCAGGTCCTGGGTCAACATATTGAGTGCTGTGTACCAGCTTGCCGTGGCCATTTGAGAAATGATGGCACTTACCTGTTTGCAGCAATGGCTTGAAACTGAGTATAGAGGACTTGTAGCAACAACAACAAAGCACACATGTATCAGTTCCTGTGCAATACTAGTATCAACACCATATAATAAAACCATTCCTTTACTGTTTGATTTTCTTTGCAGCTGGAGCTTTGCCAGAAGCTTCCCTTTTGGCACTCTTACCCTTGCCCTTGCTACTGTGAGCAGCACTAGGATCCACTACTGAGAGCATAGTCTTGGCAGGCAGCTGCTTGGGGTTGGAGAGAACCTGAACCTTCAAGCCCTTGACATCCTTCATCTCAAATGCCATGTTGGAATCCTCCTTGACCATGGCGCCACATGCCACCCAAAAGGGAACAACCAAACCAGTGCATGTCCCATCAACACATTTCCAAGGCTTGGGTGGCAAGATGTACCACTCAGTGCCCCCATAGGAGACCTTTGCAAACTTGGACAGCTGGCCAGGCGACTTCAAGACAATCTTGTCAACCTTGTCAGTCATGGGGACCATAGTCAAATCATGTTGTTTGGCCTGGCCATCAGTGTAGATCCTCTTGACAGGGTCCTCCTGGATCAACACTTTCTTGTGGTAGGACTTGCACATGCTAAACAACACACCATAGATGTAAGCCCTGTCATTTTCCTTTCTGCAAACCAAAGTAGGGGTCAACTTTGCTGCATCATCAGCAATTAATGCAGGTGCCTTCCCCTTTGAGGGTTTGAGTTCCTTTGTGACCTTGATATCCTGCACTGTGATTGTTTTTTTTTGTATTTTCAAAGAGCTCCTGTGCCTACAAAACAAGGTGGTCTGCATTGATTTCTTTCAGTAGGAAAATGTGTGGCAAGTCCTTGTGGTTGTAAAAGTTTCCTATTTTGAGTTCTATGCTTTGCATTGCCAAAAACATTGGGTTTTTTGCTTGCTGGAGATCCACTGCCTTGCTTGACTGGCTGGGTTGGCTTGCTTGGCTTGTCACTAGCAACTGCGCTGTGGGTGTGGATGAAGCAAGCTCATTGTCATAAGCACCCTTGATGCTTTCAATGTCCTTGTATTCTTTGTTTTCTCTGCCCATTTTCCATTTGCCAGTAAGCAAAAGGATTGCCCTGATGCAGCACTTACCAAAAGCCTTGTAGTAGATGTGCTTCTTCTCTTGTGGGGCTGCAAACACCTCCCCCCACTTAGATTGCAGCAAGCTCTCAACATCTTGAACTTGTTGCCTAAGCTTTGTTCCCTTGCACCTCTCTACATCACTTTTGGTGAGCAGCCTAGCAAAGCCATCAACACACCTAGCTTTGCCACAGGTCAGGTTGGTCACAATGAGGCCACATCGCAGGAATGGGAACAGGTCCACATTGTTGATCACCATGTCAACAACAGAGGAAAAGAATTCTATTCCAAGGACAGCATTCTCTCCAAACTCTTTGCTGAAGACATTCAGGAAATCAAGTAGCTGGCCATTACCTTGGTATCATCATGTGACAAGTTGATAAGCTAGGTGCACCACAGTCAAACAAAAATACATTCATAAAAAACACAATGCAAAAAATTCAACCCAAGTGCCAGAGTAGAGCTTGACAAACTTCCCAATTGTTTTGGCATAATCTTGGACATTGCCCCCTGTACAACCATGCATGGACACCTCATCCCAGTTCACTTCCTTTTGGGGGTTGCTTGATACAGCATCCCAAATTGAAGATGCCAATTCCATTTCTGATTGGGAGGCAAAGACTGAGTTGGGGCAGTTGAGGGCATGCTGGATGAGTTCTGGAAGCTGTGGAAATTGTGCTTCCACAGTGTGTGGCAGCACTAGCCACTCCCACCCAGCTTCAACCATAGTTTTCAAGTCCCTGTCAGACTGCCACACATGTGCTCCAAGCTTGCCATTAGTGCCTGCCAAATCTTCTTCACAGGTTGGGCACCCATGCACAAGGGCCTTCACAAATTGGCATGTATGCCCACTGCTGAGAGATGCATACCTCTCAGTGCCCAGCAAAGGGGACAGCAAAGGTGTGGAAGCAACCAGCTTCTCAAAAGGATCTATTTGTTTTTGCCTTTCAGCCATATTGGGGCTCAGCTCTATGCAAACACTGTTCCCCAACAAGCTGATGTCAGCACCAGCTTTCATGATCTGCAAGCCTTTGCGGTGACAACCATGTGGGCTAATGAGGGCACCACTTCGGTTCTTGGGGTGAACAACAAAAGCTGTTGCCTTTGCAGTAGCCACATAGGCAACCCCACACTCCAACAGCATGTCCTTGATGGATTTCCACTTCTGCAAGGGCCCCAAATCAGAAGCCATGATCTTGGTGATGTGATCAACTGCCTTTGGAGGAATGGCCAT